TTAGCCCGTCTGTATTTTCTCCTTGCAATTTAGTGATAAAAAGCACAGTGAATGTACCTTTTCACTTTTTGAAGTACACATAACACTCGGATTTAAATCCGAGGTTTTCGCATTTATTTTTCCTTACTTTTGGGCCACCCCGTATATATATGTGTGTTCGGTTGGGAAAAAAAATTACATGTGTAGTATTACAGTTAATATTTATATATTTAAGTTTCGATTTACAATGTAACAATTGTTGTATCCTGCATCAGATATTTATAGATGAAGATATGTATAGGGAAAGATGAATGTTTGAAGTACCCATATTGTTGAGCGTGAATCGTTAAAAAGTTTATCATATCTATTTTCGAATGTTGAGCTCTTTCAGATAATCTATTCAAAAATTTGCTATTTTTTCGCATACCCATGGACAGATACCAGCATTTTTGTGGGGTTTTCGATGCTAGATATGCAGTAAAAGTAAGTTGATATTGGTGAGCCTCCGCTGATGTCTCAAGGTGTTTGTTAAACTTTAACCAATATTTATATAAATAGTCATTTATTGTGTATTCTTTACTTAAAGTGTAGACAGTTAGGTCCTCTCAACGCTTCAAATTGTGTGTTATACGGAGCCCTGTACAGTAAACATGTTCAATTAATGTTTGTTGGTTTTCGGTATAGAAAAACCAGCACGAGAATAACCAAATTATATGCGGAAGCGCATAGGCAAAAAATAATTTTCTTCCTATATGTATTAAAGATATAGGTATTTTATTAAATATAATGCGTAGGGCATGATATATTTTTCTAATTATTTGAAGACGTTTTAATATATAGATACCCCATCCTAGTTTTGTTGTTATGTCGACTCCTAGATATTTGAAACGTTTTACAAATTCGATTGATAAATCTTTATATTTTATTTTAGGATATGGTGGTGCTACAACATCGTCTACTAGCAGTGCTTTTGTTTTGTTTATATTGACAGGAAGTATGTTATCGTCGGCATATTTTGCTAGAATTCTCATTGCAATCTCAGCTTGTCTTTCAAGTTCAGCAATATTTCTGGAAAATGTATTCTCAAGTGCACCAGAGATAATGATAGCAAGGTCATCCGCAAACAGATGGCATACTAAATTCATGACATGTGAGGGAAGGAAATGAACGTGTAAGCGAAAAAGAGCAGCTGCCAAAACAGAACCTTGAGGAGTACCAACGAATAAGTTAATAACACGCGAAACTGCATTTCCGACATGAATGGACATTGTTCTACCGTTTAACCATGAAAAAATCCATCTTAGTAGTGGTGGTGGAAATTCAAGCTTAAGAAGTGTTTTAAGGAGGGCAGGATGCCACATTCTACCAAAAGCTGACATAAAATCTACGAAAATTACTAAGGATGGTCTGTTGTTTGCTGCTGTTGTTAATCTGAGATCCTCTACTAGTGATAGAATGCGGGTTTGTAAACGCCTTTCAGAAGTAAATCCGGATTGTTCGTCTATAAAAATACCTTTTTCTCTACACCATTTAAGTATACGATTATGTATTATTCTTTCAAAGCATTTACCAAAGTTCGAGAGGAGTGAGATGGGTCTGAGTTTGTTAAGTGCTGGATACATTCCATCCTTTGAGAGACAGATTGTTTTTGCGTGTTTGATATTCAAAAGTACTCCACCCGTCTCAGCAATTTTGTTAAAAGAAACAGTAATTATTTGTAAATATTCTAATGGTATTTGATGAAGTAAGAAAGCTGATATTCCTTCTGTATCTGTTGATTTCTTTTTTTGAGCACGTTTCCAATTTTTTTCTACTTCGGCTAATGTGATTTTTTCTAGGGGTATATTAGGTTGTTGCGTAAAAACTTCATATTCTTTCATTGCATCTGCATGGCTTATATTATTAGGATCAATGATAGGTGTTTCGAAATGCTTTTCATAATAATTAGCAAGTGTGTCAGCTATTAATTGATGATCTTTTATTATACCGTTGTTTGTGGTAAGACCCTTAAAGGAAGGTGCATATGGGTGGAATGTTGAATGCACGTATTTCCATATGTTATTTCCATGTGATATGAAAGAGTTTCTTTTTTCTATTTTTTCCTGTAAGAATAGACTTTTTTCATTAAAATATAGACTTTTACAGTATAAATATTCTTCAAGATTTCTTTGTTGTTTAGATCTTCTGTATTTTCTTCTTGCTTTATTTAGAATTCTTGCTAGCTGCACAAGATATAGTGGCCACGGTGGTCGATATTTCTTTACTGGTAAGTATTCACTCACTCCGTCCCATGTAGAAGAAAGAAAAGATGAGAAAAGATCGAGAAAAACGTCTGCATCGAAATTGTAAACGAGTGAGTTGAAATATGGGAAAATAGATTTAAGAAAAAATGCAAACACTTTCCAATTTGTTTTTCTGAAATAATTAGTAACACCTGTTGAAAATGGTGATTGTATCAATACAGGATAGTGATCGGATGACCCTTCCTTTATTACTTCAGCATTCCACCCATCAGCATTATGGGTAATTCCGAAGTCAATTACCGCAGATGATCTTTTTGATGTTGGTTGATTTGGGTAAATCATCTCACATCCTGTATTGTCAAGCCAATTTCTCAGTTGTACTCCCCTAGCGTTATTATTATTACAAAGCCAATCAGTATGTTTTGCGTTATAGTCTCCAAATATATAAAACGATTTATCCACGCATGTATCGAAAATAGTTTGAGGGATAGGTTTACCAGGAGGTATATAAACAGCGCCCAATAGAATTGGTTTTGGTAGTATGTCTAACTCAACGAGTAGAAAGTCATTTTCTTGAGTAATTAATTTGGTTTTAAGTGTATAAAACTATCATATTTACTTTACAAAAGTAAATAGTAAATAAAATATTTACCTATTTAATGGTAAAGTAAAAGTAAAGTGCCATCCCTAATTAGGACTACGTAACAACAAATGTAACATTGATAGAAGAAATAAAACGTTCTGACAAAAAAAATTAAAAAAGAAAAGTTTTAAATTCTGTACTTGATTTTACTATACGATGTCGTTAAATATTCCATTTCGTGCAAAATTTCAAGCGCTATCTTTTCATAAAAAAAGTGTTTCAATTGAGTAAAAAATCGAGAACAAAATATAAAAAATGCAAACAGTCTAATTCATTCTTGACCATCCGATATAATAACCATATCAAAAATATAACGAAAAGCATTCATATTTACATAATTTAACAGAATCAATCAATAGATATTTTATAACTTAATGTAAAATTATTTCTTATTGAATATTTGAAGCAAAGTATTCAATGGTACTGATTCACTTTCCATAGTCGATAATTTTGTTATCAAATGTTTTCCCGATCGAAACAAAATTCAACTTTCCTTTGAGACAATCTGCAAAGTAGAACTAGATGATGCATTCAGTTACTTTGCAAACATCAGTTGTTTACTTATCTATTAGATGCGTGTTTCTTTTATTATTTTAATGTAGTTTACAGTTCTCAATTATCGAACTTATTGCAATGCTCATAAAATAGAAGATTTCTTTGATTTTGCCCTCCACTTGATGTTTAGAGAGAAGATTGCAAGCTTTTAATCATTGCGTATATACACAAAGGCATTTGATGTCAACGCGCAAAATACGAATCTCGTTCAGGCATTAATCATTTTCTTGAGATTTTTTTTCCTTATCTACTAAATTATTCGCAAAAAATTTCACTCACGTGCATCTACACTCAGCAACATATGAACTTATTAATCGATCGAATTTGTTTATCCTTTATGTCGATTGTCTTCTTTTTCTCAAATTCTCTACAATCAGAAGGTGTTATTGTTTATGTTTTCTCTCGAAGATTTCATCATCTTCTTAAGTATTTGAGAGTGGTGTCATAATCCCGTTACACCCGGTATCCGCATTTGCTTTTCATGCAGTCTCCGGGTATTGAATGGAGAAGTATCCATTTTCATATACGATACGATATCTTGAAGCGTATCCAACTCGGAATCTTAAGCTATAACCATACACCAAAACTTGGGAAATATGGGTCAATTTGGTGTATTACCCGAAGAGTAATGACCTCCAAATTTAAATAAATATTCTAGAGTTGAGGAATTTGAGTGAATTTGGGATATTACCCTCAGGGTAATATCCCAAATTCACTCAAATTCCTCAACTTTATAATATATAGTTACAGTTTAGAGGTCGTTACTCTTCGGGTAATACACCAAACTCCTTAAGTTTAAAATATATAGTTGAGTTATGGGGTAACAACCTCATTATCCTTAAGGTCTGTATATTTAAAAGTTGAGGAATTTGAGTGAATTTGGTGTGTTACCCCAATGGAATGACCTCTAAAATATAAGTGTATATTATAAAGTTGAGAAATTTGAGTGAATTTGGGGTAACGAGGTCGTTACCCCAAATTCACTCAAATCCTCAATTTTAAAAATATGTAGTTCATTTATGGAGTAAGGAAGTCATTACCCCTAGGCGTAAGTTTCATCGTATAAATGAATATCACTTTTAGTTGATTACTCTGTAGGATATTCTGACATTTACTACTCTATACCCAGTGTAATGGTATTATGACATTTATGGTGTTTGATAATAATACGAGAAGGGAACAGAAACCTGTCACAGGAGTGATCGACCCATATGCAAAGAAAATACAATGGTTCATAATGCCCACTAAAGAGTTTTCAGTTCTTTTCTATTTCTTGTTTCCAACTTTTAGAATACATGATGACAAATTTTCAATTTCGAAGACAAGTAAACAGATTGAAATTTGATTGCACGATTTACTTCCCAGTTAAAAGATAATGTCCTACGCAGTATTTCTAAGGATCTTCATCAAGAATTCTCTTACGCCAAGAGTCTTTTCCTTTCAGCATAAAAGAATTGGTGATTTCTTACACCATCAGAAGAGATTAAGACGTAGAGAATGAATGGACAAAAATATTTATTGCCATTGCGTTAAAATCAATTGTAGACGATAATGAAAAACAGATGTTCGTCCACATTGTCTTTAATGTTTCTCTCATACAAACCGAGAAAAAATTTTAAGAATATTAAATGGTGACTGAAAAGTGACGAGTCCTGTCTGTAATTTAACGTTATCTATATGAATACATATATAGATAGTAGACTGAAATATAGTTATGTAGAGAAATATTAAAGATATAATTTGAACATAAAATAGTTCGAATTCCATAAAGATCATGAAAAGTTATGGTTGCTTTGTTGATCATGACAAAATATTCTACATCTTACATTGTTTACAAAAATAAAATATGCTCGTAACATCGGAAGCGAAATAATATTTTCTAGAGATTTTTTTGACAAGCTCTACGATAATAGAAATATTTTCAAAAATCTTATCTTTTTTCTAATACAAAATTTGAAGAAAATTAGAGACACTAATCAAAATTTTATGTATTCAGCATTAGAGAGAGTATCAATATATCACATTATATCTCCAAGCATCAATTATCAGTCAATGAACTGATCTTATTTAAAGCAAAATATTCTATCTCGTGAAACATATGTAACATTTTTATTAGTCTATCTGGTTTTCTCCATGTTTTGTGAAACATGAACTAAAAGGAGTATTGAAGTATATTGGGTAGAAATCTGTGCTCACTCCTGATGCTCCCACCCTACTCCTACTCCAAAGACCATGACTAACGTTGTTGATATACGATCACAGAGCATATGTCAATATCGGTTGATTACAATAGATTAACTACATCCTTAATGCGTTTTTCCAGGACTAACGAGGAAACATTCTCAAGTGATATCCACCGTTTTAGCTCATATTGAGCCCACGAGTAGATCTCGGTAAGACTAGGGAAAGTCTAAAAGGGTTCGTGCCATTGCACCTTTGGAGCCGAGTTATGCCGAATTTACTGAATTTTCGACCCTTTTTAAGGTACTGACCGAAAAATCAAATAACGAAGTTTCCATCTGAAATTTCTACCATACATAGATATACTTACACCTAAAATATCCTGAAAGTTTCAGCCGAATAGAATGTTCCTGTGTTGAGTTATTGAATTTTCAATTAAACTCGACTTTTGTAAAATATCTGTGGCAAATGACTATTTTTTGGAAATCCAATATCTCCACACAGGAACAT